GGCGTGGTGGCACGTGCCTGTAGTCCCAGCTACTCGGGAGGCTGAGGCAGGAGAATCGCTTAAACCCACGAGGCAGAGGTTGCAGTGAGCCGAGATCACGCCACTGCACTCCAGCCTGGGCGACAAATCAAGACTCCATCTCCAAAAAAAAAAAAAAAAAAGACAAAGAAGGGTAGTGAAAGTTCCTGCCCATGGGGACGCGGTGGCTCACACCTGTAATCCCAGCACTCTGGGAGGCTGAGACAGGCAGATCACTTGAGGTTAGGAGTTCAAGCCCAGCCTGGACAATATGGTGAAACCTTGTCTCTACTAAAAATAAAAAAATTAGGCGGCTTTGGTGGCACGTGCGTATAATCCCAGCTACTTGGGAGGCTGAGGCACGAGAATCATTTGAATCCGGGAGGCGGAGGTTGCAGTGAGCCGAGATCCCGCTACTGCACTCCAGCCTGAGCCACGGAGTGAGACTGTCTCAACAACAACAAAAAACAAAAAGAAAGTAAGTTCCTGCCCCACAGGCTGCTGTGGGGATAGAGTTCACGTGTGGCACCAGCAAAAGCTCCGTCTATTCTGAACCACTTCCTGCTTCCGCAGCTTCAAAGTGAGGACTGGTCCTACCTTTTCCACAGCTGCTTCTGCTGCTTGGAATGCGCCTCTCCACACACTCCTACCCATCCTTCAATACCTCAAAGCTAATGTCCTTCCTTCTGAAGCCCATTTGTGCCACCTGCTCACCCACAGGACTGTTTGTGTCTGAGTCTGCGGGTCCTCTCAGGATTGGGGGGAGCCCCCCAGGACTTGTTAAGGGGCAAAGCGAGTCCTTAGCCACCAGCCCCAGACTTGGGGGTGAAATACAGAAGTGGGTGCCATTGCCACGGTGACCTTCACTCAAGTCACCTGCTTAGGCATCAAGAGCGGCTGCCTGGGCTTCTGCTCCCAACAGACCCTCCAGGCCCACCCAGGTGGCCCCCGACTCTCAGCTCCCGGGGCAGGTGCCCCCTCCCCAAGGTGGGGAAGAGGGGTGACGTTGGAGGCCTTGGTGTCCGATTGGAACACCCGTTCCCAAAAGCCTGCTTTGGAAAAATATAAAGCCTTCAGTTACTTTTTCTGTTTGTTTTCTTGTTTTGGTTTGTTGTTGTTGTTTGTTTTGTTTTGTTTTAGACAGACTCTCGCTGTGTCTGGAGTGCAGTGGCGTGATCTCCGCTGACTACAGCCTCTGCCTCCCAGGTTCAAATGATTCCCCCACCTCAGCCTCCTAAGTAGCTGGGATTATAGGCACGTGCCACCACACTCAGCTAATTTTTGTATTTTGGTAGAGACAGGGTTTTGCCATGTTGGCCAGGTTGGTCTCAAACTCCTGACCTCAGGTGAGGAGGCCTCCCAAAGTGCTGGGGTGACAGGAGTGAGCCACCGCGCCCGCCCTGCCCAGAAATTATCTTGTGCATCTGTCAAAGAGCTTATCCAACTATTATGATCAAAGAGGAATTTGGAGCCCTGGGCTCCACTCAGGGGAAGGGACAGCCGGTCCCCTCCCTGTCTGCCGCCACCTCAGGTGACCCGGGAATAGCCCAGACATAGGAAACATGAAAATCCAGTCCTCAAGTTGTGCCTCCTGCCGGGCCTGCGCCCTCAGACCACTGGAGATCCACTGCCTCTTGCAAAAAATGTCAACACCCAGAGCCTGGGGCCAACCACCCACCTCAGTCATTGTTCCCAAGGGTGAGGAGGCACCGGCCTGCCCCTCCTGCAGCCTGGAATTCCAAGAACTGAGCAGGATTCCTGGCCTTGCCTCCTGAAATGCCCTGTGTGTCCCAAATGCCAGGACGCAGCCGGCACTTCTGTGAGGACAAGAAAAGCAGGGAAGGAGGCCGGCTAATCTTCAGGCCCAGGGTCCGGGCGGGGAGAGGAGGGCCGCTGGGAGGCAGTCCTGCAGTCTTATCGATGGGCACCGGGGCAGGGTGACCCAGCCCATGACGCCGGCCTCCTGCCCTCCCAACAGCCCTCTCTAATCAGGGCACCTCCCCCAGACCTAGGGGCATCCCTGACCCTGGCCAGACAGACAGAGGCAATGCAAGAACAGGGCAGAGACCCCTGACCCTCCAGTCCCACCCAGGCGGCTCCCAACTCTCACCTCCGGGGCAGCACCCTCCAACCGCCCACGCACCAGGTTGCCCTGGCAGGACAGACAGAGACAGGAGGCTCTAGGCAGCCTGACTGTCCCTCAGCCATAGCTGTCCCGGTTGGTCACCCTAATAGATGAGCTCAGACTAGACAGACTGAGAGGAGGCACCACCAACCCTCCAAAGGGTTCAGGACGGCCCGAGGGGTCAAAGGCATTGACACTAGGAAGTCATGTAGTCAGATGGTGAAGGCCCTGCAGGTCAGACAGCAGCTCTGAGGCACACAGACAGGAGAGGCTGGGCCAAGGGACAGACAAAAGGGATACGGGGCACTTAAGCAGACAGACAGGGGAGGCTCACCGCTCAGGCAGATAGAGAGGCCCTGCACGGTTGGACAGATGGGGGAGGCCCTGCACAGTCAGAGAGATGGGGGCGGCTCAGGCCATGGGCAGAAAAATAGACGGGGAAGGCTGGATGGTGGGATAGGCAGGGGAGGTTCAGGAGTGACACCACAGAGGGACCACTGGGTAGTCAGACAGAGGCGGGAGGCTCAGGCCACAGAACAGACAGAGGAGTGAAGACTCAGCTCATGGGGCAGACACACAGGGAAGACTTAGGCCCCAGGCAGGCAGACAGAGGGGACAGGGTGGTGGGACTGATGGAGGAGGCTCAGGCCATGGGCACAGACAGGTAGGGAAGGTTCTGGCCATGGGACAGACAGAGGGGTGAACACTCAGCCCATAGGGCAGAGAAATAGGGAGGTTAAGGCCGTGGACAGACAGTGCAGGGGGGTTCGGGCCACCGGACAGACAGACCGAGGGAAGACTCCGATCCCGGGCAGGCAGACAGTGGGTGGCGGGTCAGGCGGGGCCGGGACGCTTACCGACCAGGTGCCAGGCCTTGCGCGGGCCGTAGCGGGG